ATTTATTTACTTTTGTTTTTTACAAAACGAGATGTTACAACGTGTATTAAGTAGGAAAGATTTTAGATAAATATTACAAAGTGAATTAAGTAAGAAATTACAAAATTATATTATATTTGATTGTTATGAATGAATTTACACAATATATTCCTTATACCTTTTAAGCTCACTTTGTATATAATGACCAACTTAGAATGAAGAAGTTACCAAAATCTATGTTTCAAACATATGAATGCATAAAGAACTCATAATTATATGTTTGGTGACTTAAATCAAATGTACAACTAGAAAAGTAAATGTTAAGGGTACGTAATACTAATTTAACTGGAAAACAACAAAAGTATAACTATGTCGAACTTTGGTAAACCTAATATCGTTTGTACAACAATGTGTTAAAAAGGCGGCGCACATGTAGACAAACGGTGCATATATATGTAGGGGAAAAAATGGCGCACATAAATTCGAGAATTCTCCTATTCTCATAATCTTCTTTTCCTTTCTTTCTCCTTCTCCTTTATTTCATTCTCCTCCATTCTTTCGAATTCGCCACCTTTTTCAACCTCCTCTTCTCTCAGATTCTTTATTCTTTTTCCTTCACAATCAATTTAGATCTCCGGCAATATATTCTTTTACTCAATTTTGAATACTTTCGATTATAAGAATATTCGTTTGTGAATAATGTCGGTTGTTATTTGATTTCGATTAAGGTTGTCGTCATGGAGGAGGAGCACTCACCACAATGAGATGAAGAGGGCCAAGAAGCTAATGGACCGATCAGATGCCATAGCCGGTGCTATGATATTCCTACGAGATGTCCATATGGTGGACGCAACATCGACGAGATCTCTCAAAACAAAGCGGACAATAGAAAGAGATATTATAAATTAGGAATGTTAACTTCGGCATGAAATCTCAATTTAATAAATGGGTATGTATAAGAAAAAGTAATCCATTTAAATCCATTTAGGAAAAAATATTAAATGGGGTTAAATGGGTTACCCCAATTAAACCTATTATTAAATAGAGTTTCACACAAATAAATGAGTACCCATTTAAATACATTTATGTTTCTTTTTATATTAGTTATCTTTATAAAAAAATGTTAATATCTTAATAACAAAAATAAGAGAGCAATATATTAAATACATTTAAACTAAATTATTCTACTTAGATTCAATTTTTGATTGAAATTTTTTTTTAAACGTAAAACCGCGTATTCCCGCCAAAATTGCAAAACAGCGTTTTATCACCAAAAAATATTCTTCCACAAAATGACATTTTCCCGCCAAAGTTGTAAACCCGCGTTTTCCATCAAAATCGCAAAACCGTGTTTTCCTGCCAAGATCGCAAAAATGTGTTTTATCACCAAAACCTATCCCGATAAATTGCAAGTAATTTGCAAGTAACACTTTCAAAAATTTTATATATTTAAATTTTATTTTACTTTTGACGTAACTTTTAAATATGTTCTTAATACTAATATAATATGAAATATATGTATATAGAATAGTAAAACAATAACGAGTAACAGGTCAAACAAGCCAAGTATTAGTTTTTTTAACTACTTGTTACTTGGCTTGTACTTGCAAGTATCTAAATTATACTACTTGGTACTTGCCTTGACAACAACGGGTACTAGGCAAGTAACGGATACGGGACGAGTAACGAGTAATCATGCCCAGATGTTAGTCAAATCTTCAACATTTAGATTTATCTTTAATTATTGTGATTATAAGAGTTTAACCTCTATATTTTTTTTATAGGATGCGTTTTCATAATTATTACCATTACGGTAAGAGATTTATTATCTATATATAACGGTTATGTATAATTAATCGAAAGAAAGAAAGAAAAAAGCGGTAACCAAATATTTCACATACAAAGGCGGCAAGCATAGTTTTTTTCTATTTGTAAATTGCTACTAATTCTAAGTTGTTTTTTTCTATAAATTATTTTGGTATAAAGTATTTTAGGTAATTTAATATTTAAACTACGAGGGGAGATTGACAAAAATAGCACTAAAATAAGTTTTTCTTCCAAAAATAACACTACATTTGAAAAATTCCACAAATAGCACTATAAACTTTAATTAAATATTAAATATGAATAATTAGTTTAATTAAAATAAATAAATAAATAAAATTGGAAAATTCCCGCCAAAAAATTTCCGCAACGTAAAAATATTTTCCCGCCAAAATTTTTTTATCAAAATTTTCCCGCAAAAAAAAAATCCCGTCAAAATTTTTCAGCCAAAAAAATCTAAAAAATTCGGGAAGGATTTCACGAAATTCAGGAAGGATTCCTTGAATTTTAGGAAAGTATTCCTAAAAGGATTGCACGAAATTCAGGAAGGATTTAACGAAATTCAGGAAGGATTTAACGAAATTCAGGAAGGATTCCACGTACTTCAGGAAGGATTTCATGAATTCATGAATTTAGGAAGGATTCTACGTAATTCAGGAAGGGTTTCACGATTCGTGAACTCCTTCCTAAATTACGTGAAATCCTTCCTAAATTTCGTGGAATCCTTCCTAAATTTTTTGGATTTTTTTTTTGTGGGAAAAATTTGACGATAATTATTTTTTCCAGGAGCGGAAAATATTTTGGCGGGAAATTTTTTGACGGGATTTTGTTTTGGCGGTAAAATATTAACGATGAATTTGTGATTTTTTGTATTTATTTATAATTATATATTAATTTTAAAAATCAAAAATAAGGTGCTATTTTGGTCCAATAAGCTTTTGAGTGCTATTCTTGTCCAAAAAACTTGATTTGGGGCTATAAGAGGCAATTTCTCAGGAAGGGATTATTTAAAAACTTTTGTAACTTATATTATTTAAAACATTTTCACTTATATTACGGCCATCTTTAATTACTTAATATTTTCAGTAATTTTACCGTTAAAAATTTATTACCGGCTAATGTGAACCATTGAATTTATTTTTTATTTTTGACCAAAAAGTTTAAGAGTATAATTTCTTAGAAGATTATAAATGTTGAATTCTATATATTTAAATATTTGAAATTAATTCACTCCCTTCACTGAAAAATAAACATATTTTTGTCGATAACATGCATAATGCGAGTTTATATGTAGATAACACATCGACAACACTATCATAAACTTCTAAACTACTCTTGTGATATATAAAAAAAAAACAAATAATGTAAACACTTCAAAATTTGAAAACAAAAGAGGAGTTAAAATATAATATACTACTAAACTCAAGAAATATTTTATAATAGATTAATAATAAAATTTTTTTTTTTTTATTGTTGAACAAAAAAAAATAGTATTATCAACTTTAAAAAAATGTTAAACTTTTAAAATTTGTTAATAAATGTTGGGCCTTATTTTATATTTTGTTTGGGGCCTTACAAATGTTTGGGCCGGCACTTCAAAGAGATCAATTAAACTTTCCTTATCTTCTCCTTTGATTTGGGGAAACTCATGTCCTAGATTAGATACACCACAAATAAGAAAGTTACTTGTAAGTTGTAACAAATATTCACGAAAAAAAAATTAACCACATAAGTATCCTTAATCTCTCTCTAAGCCTGTTTACATACTTTTAATTTGTATCATCGTTTTGAAACAATTTAATATAGAAAATAAAAAGTAAACAAATATGTATAATATTTATATATGTGGTCCAATTTGCCCACAAAAAAAGGATCATGAGACATGAGCGTGCGACCTTCTCCTAGCTGTTCGTCTCTGATGCTCCAGCTCCCTTTCCCACTTTATTTTTCTAATTATTCTAATCGGTCAATTATGTTTGTTACTTTAATTTTTAACTACAATCCATTTTTTTTTTCTTGTTGTAGGATTTTAGATAATTGAATTAATCCATACATAGCATACAAATATTGCTACTGGTCAAGCTCTTCCATAAAAATTAGGGATTACAATTCACCCAAAAAAAAACTTAGGAAGTACATTTTGGATGTGTAATTGGCTAAAACAATAATAAATAATGCAATATTAAAAAATAACAATAATATGACTTAATTATTTTAATATGATTAGCCAAATTAAATTAACATATTATTTTTCCGTAACATGTAATTTTAAAATTTATAATTTAAAATATTTATTTTAACTTTTTAAAGAAAATTTTTGAACATTTATTTTTATTAAAATACTTTGTGATAAATTAGTCGTTAACATAAAAATATAATAAAATTATTATAGAAAAGTTTATATATTACCAAAAAAGTTGCGTTTTTATTTTATATGATATGGGGCCTAGACATAATATTAGGACCCAAAAAGTAACCCAAACCGATCCTAATTAGAAAGTACCGAACGGAACCAAAACCGGCATAAATACTCAAATGGAACCTAGACTCCTATACCCGAAGAACCGGTACCTAATCCGAACCAAACCGAAAACCAAAAATAGGTACTTAGATATATAAAAAAATATAAGTATATATCAAAAATATTAGTTATATACCTATTTTCAGATATTTTTGGATAATTTGGGTATAGATGGCTAATACAAATATAATTATTTTAGATATTTTTTTTTATATAATTGGGTAGATTCGGGTAACAAATAACCAATCCGAACCACTTTCAAAAAATTTCAGTATTTTTTGGTTCTCAACACAAACATCCGAACCAACCGGACTCAAAAAGAAACGAACCGAAACCAAACCAAAATTTAAAATATGCGAATAGAATCTAACCTGCTAAAACCCAAAAACTGAAATTGAAATGAAACCAATCCGAGAACCCGAATACTCACTCAGTAGTCAATACTAAATGAAATCTACTATTTAATAACAATAAATAATAAATTCTTACGTATCATTTTTTCTTATTTTACCTATTTCACTCGTTCCCTTGACTTAATCGATACTTATTTATAGAGATAGTAAACATCAATAACTAACGCTTATTGAAAAATTCTTAAAATAATAAGACTAATAAACCAATAATTAAACAAAACTACGAAAATGCCATTTCTTAAATTATTTTAAGTAACTGTATTAAAAAGCTGTTTTTGTTCTCTTCTCTCTCTCTCTCTCTCTCTTTCGCTGCTCTCACACGCAAAAATGGCTCACCTCTTCAGAGAGCTGTCTCTGGGTCACTCCAAGAGAGACTCTACGCCGCCGCCGCCGTCACAATCGGCGACTTCACGCTCTTCTTCAATGTCTTCCGATCTACCTCCGTCACCACTCGGACAACTCGCTGTTCAACTTTCCGATTCCGATCTCCGTCTCACTGCTTACGAGATCTTCGTCGCCGCATGTCGTAGCGCCACCGGAAAACCTCTCTCATCGGCTGTTTCAGTCGCTGTTTCGAATCCAGATTCTCCCAATGGCTCTCCTGCTTCGCCAGCGATTCAGCGGTCTCTGACCTCAACCGCCGCTAGTAAGATGAAGAAAGCTTTGGGGTTAAGGTCTTCTTCTTCGCTTTCACCTGGATCTAATAAGAGTCCTGGTTCGGGTTCGGGTTCTGCTACGGGTTCCAATGGTAAGTCGAAGCGTCCTACTACTGTCGGTGAGCTTATGCGGATCCAAATGCGAGTATCGGAGGCTGTTGATTCTCGTGTTCGTAGAGCTTTTCTTAGAATCGCTGCTAGTCAGGTTAGCTCAATTTTACTATTGCATTTCCTTCTTGCTGGATCTTTGTGATCCAATCGAGCTGAATTTTGGCTTGCCCATGAGGGATCTACTAATGAGATGGATTAGTTCTGATTAGAATAGTTCTACAGCTTGATTTTAGTTGAATACATGTTCAATTTCATGATCTTGTGATGTAGATGTAGCCATTGACTTATCTGGGATAGATCTTAAATTGCTTAAATTGGGTACTATTCTGGATAAGAGACTGTGTTGTGACATTTGCGTCTTAGTAATAACTGCTAGAGGGTCCATTGCTACGAAAGTTCTCGGCTTTAATTAAGTTGTTTGTTTTCAGGTTGGAAGGAAGATTGAGTCAGTGGTTCTTCCTTTAGAATTGTTACAGCAGCTAAAGTCTTCTGATTTTACGGATCAGCAAGAATATGATGCTTGGTTGAAGAGATCATTGAAGGTTCTTGAGGCTGGTCTGCTGTTGCATCCTCGTGTACCTCTTGATAAGACGAATTCTTCTCAACGGTTGCGACAGATAATTCATGGTGCTTTAGACCGGCCTTTGGAGACTGGAAGGAACAATGAGCAAATGCAAAGTCTGCGATCAGCGGTCATGTCTCTTGCCACTAGATCTGATGGGTCTTTCTCTGATTCCTGTCATTGGGCTGATGGCTCTCCATTTAATCTCAGGCTCTATGAACTGCTTTTAGAAGCGTGTTTTGATTCTAATGACGCGACGTCCATGGTTGAGGAAGTTGATGACCTTATGGAACACATAAAGAAGACGTGGGTAATTCTTGGCATCAACCAAATGCTTCATAACCTCTGTTTTACGTGGATTTTGTTTAGTCGCTATGTTGTTACTGGACAAGTTGAGATGGACCTGCTTCATGCTTGTGATTCTCAACTGGCAGAAGTTGCTAAAGATGCAAAGACAACAAAGGATCCTGAATACTCCCAAGTTTTAAGTTCTACACTGAGCGCTATATTAGGTTGGGCAGAGAAAAGGCTCCTTGCATACCATGATACCTTTGACCGAGGGAATATTCATACCATGGAGGGAATTGTTTCTTTGGGTGTATCAGCAGCCAGGATATTAGTTGAAGATATATCTAATGAGTACCGTAGAAGAAGGAAAGGAGAAGTTGATGTGGCTCGTACCAGGATTGAGACATACATCAGGTCCTCCCTACGAACTTCTTTTGCGCAGGTAAGTATTTGCACTGTCTTGGGGGATGTTCACTATCGATTTATTTCTATATTTCATTACTTACCGCTGTTCCAGCATTTCCTTGAACTTATTTATTTGTGTTTTGTCTTTCTGTAGAGAATGGAGAAAGCAGATTCAAGCCGGAGAGCATCTAGAAACCAGAAAAATCCTCTTCCTGTTCTTGCCATCCTTGCTAAGGACATTGGTGAGCTAGCTGTTCAGGAAAAGCGGATGTTCAGTCCAATATTGAAGAGATGGCATCCATTTGCTGCAGGGGTTGCTGTGGCTACCCTCCATGTTTGTTATGGAAATGAGATTAAACAGTTTATTTCCGGAATATCTGAATTGACACCTGATGCTGTCCAGATACTAAGAGCTGCAGATAAGCTAGAAAAGGATCTGGTTCAAATTGCAGTAGAGGATTCTGTTGACAGTGATGATGGTGGTAAAGCAATTATCCGTGAAATGCCTCCCTTCGAAGCTGAGACGGTTATTGCTAATTTGGTCAAAGACTGGATCAAGGCAAGAATAGACAGGCTTAAGGAATGGGTTGACAGGAATTTGCAGCAAGAGGTTAGTAACTATATCCGAAATGTCTATGTTAGAATTTGTCATCTTCAACTTTTGCCATATTTGGAAAACACAGTCATTAACGCAATTTTGTGTTCCAGGTTTGGAAACCTCTGGAGAACCAAGAAGGAGGATATGCACAATCTGCTGCCGAAGTGTTGCGGATTACTGATGAAACTTTGGAAGCGTTTTTTCAGCTTCCCATACCCATGCATCCTGCTGTATTACCTGATTTAATCATTGGTTTAGACAAATATCTTCAGTATTATGTCTCAAAGGCAAAATCTGGGTGCGGTAAGTTTGCATATGATTTGGGATATATTTTTCTATATGGTGGAAGAAGTCTTGAACTCTTAATTTCTCACACTTTTAATATTATTGTATGCTGATGCGCAGGCTCTCGGACTACGTACATGCCCACAATGCCTGCACTCACCCGATGTACAACGGAATCAAAATTCCAATGGAAGAAGAAAGAAAAGACACCTATCTCTCAGAAAAGAGACGCTCAGGTTTCGGTTATGAACGGTGGTGAGAATTCCTTTGGGGTCACGCAGATATGTGTCAGAATAAACAGCTTGCACAAAATCCGCAGTGAGCTCGATGTTGTGGAGAAAAGAGTGATCACACATTTGAGGAACTGTGAGTCAGCTCACACCGATGACTTTTCGAACGGCTTAGAAAAAAAGTTTGAGCTCACACCAGTGGATTGCATCGAAGGTGTTCAACAGCTTTCTGAGTCTCTGGCTTACAAAGTCGTTTTCCATGACCTAAGCCACACATTATGGGATGGGTTATACATCGGCGACCTCTCTTCCTCTAGAATTGATCCTTTCCTCAAGGAGCTCGAACAGAATTTGACAGTCATAGCAGAGACAGTACATGAAAGAGTCCGAACACGCATCATCACCGATATTATGAGAGCATCTTTCGATGGCTTCTTACTTGTCCTGCTCGCTGGAGGACCCTCTAGGGCATTCACAAGACAAGACTCTCAGATAATGGAAGAAGATTTCAAATCAATGAAAGATATGTTCTGGGCGAACGGAGATGGTCTAGCCATGGACCTGATCGATAAATTCTCGACCACGGTCAGAGGTGTGCTTCCTCTGTTTAGCACAGACACGGACAGTTTAATAGAGAGGTTCAAGGGAACGACGCTCGAAGCTTACGGGTCTTCAGCTAAGTCAAGGCTTCCGTTGCCTCCAACATCAGGCCAGTGGAATGGCATGGAGCCAAACACACTCTTACGTGTTTTATGTTACCGTAACGATGAATCTGCCACGAGGTTTCTCAAGAAAACATATAATCTGCCAAAGAAGCTCTAGTGGACTTAGGACTACTACTGCAACGTTTAATAACCTCACAAGAAGAAGTGTGTGTTCCACTTGCAGGAGGGAGCATCCGAGATTTGTATAGTGAGTTTCATTTTTTTTTGTTTTATGGTTTTTTGATACATTCCTATACGTATTTATATATTTTTTCTATTCATTTATCTCGTTTGTTATTATTATTTTTGAAGATTATACAAATAACTTATTCGATGTACCATTGTTGATTTCTTCAGCTGTGTTATAGTTTTCTGCTGAATTATTATTTTTTGTTCTTATTTTTTACTTTTGCTATTTCATGCCAATAACATTTATTTCTATTTTTCTTTTCGGCCGTACTGGAGAATTATCCTATGTGATTTGTTGTCACTTGTAGGATGTAACTTAAGCTCTTGACGTTGAGCTTTTCTCTCCAGACTTTGGATTAGATTTTTACTTTCGAGTTTCGCCTTTGAGAGTAGTGGATATTATCCAACAAAGCATTTTAGATGATAGAAGTTTGGCTTACCATTTTGTAATCCCTTATGAATGTCTTCCTATATCAATTAAAATACAGTTGACGACGAAAAGAAAAAAAACGCATAATCTTTTTTGTGCAAACATGCTTAATTTCATTCAAGACATAACAAATACAAGGTTTAAGCAACCATCAACCTCATGGTTGGGTACAACAAAGATAACAACTAGCATCCTAATAAATGATTGGAGAAGAAAGTAAATGTGATAATTCGACCGGAAAACCAAGCATCGGAGAGTCTTTTCAGGTTTTTACACGTTCGGGACAAATTTGGAGATTTTGGATCATTATGGAGCTAAACCGGAGATTTAGAGCTGAGGAGACGAAATCGGTGTCGAACCAAGGCATGAGTGTCGACCGACACCCATTGGTGTCGCTCGACACCACACACGGCCCAGCAAGAAGTCTCGACGGTTTAGAATTTTAAAGACCGAATAATCAACCCAGAAGACTTCCCTATTTTCAAAGAAGTCCCTGCACGTTTTTAAGAACCTATATATAGATTTTTAGGGTTTTGTTTTAGAGATATCTTGGAAGCTTTATTCTATTGTATTTTGGGAGCTTGAACCCTTTGGGAGATAATTGGAGATAGCTCCTCCAGAGAAGATCTTTCTAAACTCTAATCTCTTCTTTATTTTCTCAATGCAATTCTATTCAATCATGTTGTTTGTTACAATCTCCATGTCTGAGTAGTTTGCTTGTTAGGTTTAGGGATTCTCATTAGGGATTTAAATGAATTAGTAGATTGATAACCTGTTAGGATAAAATCTATAGAGTTCTTCGCTTTTGATTGTTCTTAATGCTAATTCTAGCTTGATCACCTAGAATTTGATCATAGGATAAAAGGTAGATTCGAGAGGTCATCTATTACTAGAACTATCTTAGGTGGGCAGAGATTTCTAGATTCATATGAGAGGTGGTCTAGGAATATCTGTGAACATATATATCAAACATGTTATTAATGCTAGTCTAATTCTAGGAGTTTACATTCGAGAGGTGGAACTTCCTGATATTAGGTTTAGTTAGTCAATTCATACGAGAGGTGGTTGGCTATACATTAGTGCTTTGAGTTCTAGAACTGTTCGTTAATAATCCTAATTAATTTGCTAGATCTACTATTTATTTATTTCTTGAGAAATCCCTAAGCCTGACGTTTTCCTCATCTGATTTAAAACTCGATTTAATTGCTTTCTTGTCTTTAATTTACTTAATTTCTTGTTTAGCTTAATTCGAACCATGTTAGTCTATTGTGTGAACACGAGAGCTTTGTGGAATTCGACCCTAAAGTGCTACACACGATCTCTTATTTGAGAGAGTAGTCTTAGGTCATAATTTGACTCATGATCTAATTTTGAAATCAATTTTGGACCAAGCTATAGAGAAAAAGGAAACAAAAAGGAACATTTTTGACCGGAAAGGAAGTTAGGTCCAAAGGGTTTGCATGGTCTCCAAGAGCATGCTCACTTAGTTGTTACGTCCCTTTCTACATTTATCTATGATTTAAACAATGATTTAATCTCAAAGCAAATCCACATCTTTGACAAAACAAAAGCAAATGAAACACAACAAAGCATGAACATAAACTTTATGCGAAAGGCTGATTCGATCCGTGTAATAAGGGTCTTATTATTGGGATTTCGTAACGAAGCATATTTTCATAAAAGTTTTAAACATGTATTGTTTTCAAAAAAAATTTGTTTAAAAGAATAAAAAAACCACATTTATAAAATAAATAAATAAATATTCAAAAAGAACAAGAATCCATCAAAGGAGATCTAAAATGTACACATAGGATTGTGGATTCAAACATGATTTCCTTGTTTTTTATATATGTCAAATTTGATTATGTAAAAAAGCTTTACCATAATTGATTTTCTCAAATGTTTTGATTAATCTATAAATTTGTAACACTCCGGTTTCACGAATATGGTGGTGCATGTGGAGAAGTTTAAAAAAATTGATTTGGCAATATGTGTCACCAAAGTGCACTTATCTTTTCGGTCCCGAGAGAACTCTGCAATTAAGCGTGATTTAGATAGAACAATTTCAGGATGGGTGAGCTTCCGTGAAGGGATTATCGGAATGGGAAAAGAGCGTTTTTTAATCTGAACAAATTGCAAAGTGCGTTTTAATACCTCAACAAATATATAGTGCCTTTTTCTACCTCAACGCTAAAATAATTCAAATTTACTACCCAGACTATTAATTTTGAGCGTAAAACTATATTGACTTAAACAAATTATCGGAACTGTGTGAGTGAGGACAAAACACAGAGAAAGATCACGTGGTGATTTGTAGGATCAGTAAACAAATCTTTAAAGCCTCATGGGCGTAGCAGACTGACCGTCGGATAGGAGTGGGATCCACGGGTCCGAGCGATAACGTGGATGCTCACTAGTAGGGACAGTAAGAGCGTTACAAATTCCTATCATATATGTTTCGAAAAAGGAAGTGAGAGTTTGCCCCAAGGGCACGGGAACGATAGATCCACCTCCCAAACCAATCGATCCAACATTTTGACCAGAGAGACATGGACTGATCGGGCCATTTACCCAACTGATTGAGGTGGACAATGCTATCCAAATTTCAATTTAATTTACTAGATTTAACTTACAAGATATTACCTGACTCGATTTCACTTGTTTTAATACCTATCTTTCATTCTACTTAGATTGTTGGTGTGTTAGACACTTCTAGATTCTAGATAGTTTAACACACTAAAAGTATTTGTTTAAATGCTTAAAAGATATACTTCTTTAGCCAATGCTGAACATTGATATTAAAAGGGTTTTATAACATATATAGGACACCCTCCTGAGTAATAATTATTGGGTTAGACTTGAGACGAGTGTAAGGGAACTACAATTTATGGGCTCAGATGATACAAATCATAATTCGTGAAGTTGTTCATCCTTTGCAACAATAGACTAGTCCAACGACACAAAGTGTATTAATATAGAAAATTTTGCTAATTGTAATTTTATTTTGTAAACCATTATTGTTAATTATCAATATAAATGTCATTGATATAAATTATGATATATCCGTTTATCCAATAATTTCATAACCCATGAAAACGGTTCCAATTGTGGTCAGAAAATCATGAAATTATTCCAAACGATTTTTTTTTTCTTTTTTGAGGTAAAATGTTAAATTTTATCTCATTTTTGATATTTTTTGCGAAATACCGAAATCTTCGAAACAAACAACATTATGAAAAAAGGCCAAATAGGAAAATAAATCAATGGAAGAAGTATGCTTTGATGGAAAAAAGACACGAAGAAGCCATTGGTATCTTTGTTTTTTATTAACGTTCGTCTATCAAAATTTTTTTTTGTTTGAAATAAATAATCAATAAGCGAGTGGAATAGAAGTTATTAGTTTGATAAATAAAAGTCTATGGCTTGGTCAATATTAGTTTCTAATATATAAAAACATAATTATAAATGGCTAGCTACCTCTAAAAGTTTGCAGAAAGCATATGAACAAAATCTCTCCTTTAATGCAAAAGAGAAAAGAAAAGGTTTTCGATCTTCTCATTCCCATCATTGCAAACAAAAAGAATTTATATATATAGACAAACATGCACATACAAAACATAAACTAAATTGTGGAAAGTAGAAAATAAAGAAAACAAAACAAGGAACAATGATGACAAATTTAAAAACCAAAGTGGGTGCAAGTGTTAAGTCCTTTTCTTATTGGCTATTCGTTTTGTTCCTCAATATCTTTTGACCACATTGTCGAAATTTCATGTTTTAAGTACAATTTTATTAAAGTTATCGACTCGATCCTCCCATTTAATTATCTCTTCTAATTATTTTATCATTATTTCTTAGTTGATTCATAAAGATGACGATGACACTAGTGCTATTGTAACTTATTCTTTTTAACGGGTTGGTGGTCTACCATAATGGAATAAACGATTTTAAAGGCGGAACGAAAAATGGCTTAGATCCGACTCATGACAAACCAGGTTACCCTTTCTCAAAGACAGAATCGGACCGGTACCGTCCCATGTAGTGAACTTGTATCATCCCGATCTAGTTTAAGTGACGTAAGAGCATCTCCATCAATTTGAGAAACCTTCTATTATGAAAATAAAAATAAAATTAAAAAGTAAGACAGAGAAAGGAGAGAGTTTCTCAAATGAGAAAGCCACTAGGACACTTGTTTCTCATCTATTGGTTCAATTTTATATCTGTGACTAAAAATAATTATATAATTGAAATTTATTAAAATATTAATATTTTATTGGTTTGAAAAACTCAAAGAATATCTCATTGTTAGAGATGGTCTAACATACACTACATCGTTACATGTCACTTATCAAATGAATACAGACGCTACATTGCATAATCTTTGCTAGACTAGTCACATTTTAGAACAAATCCGTCAACCCGGTCCACCCGAAAAAAAAACATGCATAGAAGATGTTTAAACCATTCTTCACATCATATATTATATATATACTCGTTTACACTCATTAGTAAACAATCAAGATAATATAAACAAAACCATCTCGATAGACAATCTATTTGGGTTATTAAACCTAATAAAAAGAGCAAGAAAATGAAATTTAAAAACAAAAAAAAAAAAACAAGAACAAAGGAACCCTAGTAAAATTACATAATGGGTCAAACGAAGCCAAAATTGTCAGGCCAACGATGGTATCTTCGAAAAATAAGTAGTGCAAGAAGAACTTGAGGATGAGGTAGACTCTAATGCTTGTAACACGTTCTTGGTGCAAGGCCTCTCTTGAGGATCAATGGCCGTACAGTTCAAAGCTAAGTTCATAACATGGACAATCTCGCGCTTATGCTCTGACATGTCGATGGATGAGTCGATCCACGTGTCGATATGGCAATTCGAATATGAATATCTAGCCCAGTTGACCAAACTTCCGTTAACTTCAGATTCTATGTCCTCATCACCGGAGGAGTTTTTACCGGTGAGGAGATTAAGGAGGAGGATTCCAAAACCATAGATGTCACTTTTACTTGTCATCTCCTTGTGCTCTCTCGTTTCTACGTTACAAAAAGGAAAACTAAGTTAGAGTCTATTTAATATTACTTACAAACTTAAAATATATAAAATTCAAAAATATGTTTTTGCATTTTTATTAATTTAGTCAAAAGTTTCAAAAAGTATATATTAAATACAGTATATTTCTTTCATACTAATTGCAAATATAATTATATAACTTAAATTCAATTGTTTTAAATTAAATTATTATTTTAAAATTATAACCAAAAATAAGTATACCATTTTAAAAAAAATCAGCATTTTTGAAAAGTCGACAATGTAAAAAATCAATTAACCAAAATATAAGTCGACTGTTATAATATAAGTCGATAAAGAAGAAAAAAATTAAATCGATTAAAATAAAATATAAGTCGATAGTTCAAAAAATCTACTGTATTAATAAATCAACGTAAAATAAGTCGACAGTTCAAAACGTTTACTGTATTAATTTTTTGGTTCTATTCAGAGTCTATTTTCCAAAACGTGACCGGAATAAAAGAACGAAAAAACGAATGCGAATTCTAGGATTAACAATTTGTTTTTAACATGGGTTTCAATATATGGAAAGCCGTTATTCTAAAACTTGAATAATTGAATTTGTTTTTTTTTTTTGTGACAAAGAGATGTAGTTATACCTGGGGCCATGTAAGCAGAGTCCATGCAAAGTAAGCCCGGAAGACCGAGACAAAGCCTTGGTTGATCCTTGACGTCGATGACAATATTCTCCGGCGATAAATTACCGGCAACAACCGCTGGAGAACACCGGCAATGTAAAAACCGAAGAGCTTCTACGATTCCCTTCATAATCTTCCTCCGTCTCTCCCAACTCAAACCATTCAAAATCTGGCTCAGCCGTTTCCCTTCGATGTCCTCGTGTATCAAGTAGGCCTCTTTTTCCGACCGGCACGTCGCAACTATCTTAAGAATGTTTTTGTGCTCAGAAAGTTTCCTCATGTCGGATATCATCTCGGGAAAAGAATCATACTTCTTGACCTCCTTAACAACGAACTTGACGCCGCTTTTATCCACAAGAACGTTTTGTTCCTTAAGAGACGATATAATCGCGTTCACCGTAAACGATTTCATGAATCTTGAATCGAAGAATTGAGTTTCCCACTTTGTACCATCTTCTTGTTCCACTTTCTTGACCTCCAAAACGTTACGCGTTCTTTGAAAGACGAGAACGATAAAGAAACCGGAGACAAGGACAGCCAAGAAAGCTACAAAGGTTGAAGTGATGATAAACCACCAACTCTTCGTACTTTTCTTTCTTACAACCTTGCAAGGACTTAAACCGCTAGCGGAATTTGCGCTGCAAAGATCGATATTACCGGTTACTGCTGTTGCGTTTATGGCAAGAAAAGCTCCGGTTGGTGGTAAGCTTCCGTGAAGAAGATTATGAGAGATGTTGACTTGAACAAGAGACTCAATATTTCCTAGATTCTTCGGAATCTCGCCAGATAATCGGTTGCACGACAAATCAAGATTGCTGAGAACTGGGAATTCTGAGAAACTCGAAGGGATCTCTCCGGTGAGATTGTTGTGGCTCAAGTCAAGATTCACTAGATTCTTGCAAGAAGACAACTCACTTGGGATCACTCCAGTGATATCGTTCTCACTTAAATCCATATCCATAAGTTCCGGAAAGGCCATGAGCCGTAGCGGAAACATTCCAGAGATTCTGTTCCTTGATAAATCGAGCTTCTTGAGTCTTTTGCTTCTCGAAAGATCAGGTAATTCACCGGAGAAGTTGTTCTGGCTGAGGTCTAACATCTCAAGTTGTGGCATGTCCCATGTGTTGATGTTACCTTGGAGGTTGTTGTTTGATAAGTCCAAAAAGTTAACGAATTGCAACTCGGTGAAACCTCGAGGTAAATCGCCTGAGAAGCCATTTTTTTTAAGCCTCACACGTTCTAAGCTCGAGCACGCGCCTAAACTCGTTGGGATTTGGCCGTCTAGAGAGTTAGAGAACAGGATGAGCTTAGTGAGATGGCCAGAGTCACAAAGAGTGTCAGGGAGTTTTCCGGTGAGATTGTTGGTAGAAAGATCAAGAACAGTAAGGTTGTTATGTTTCCCAAGATTCGCCGGAATTCCGCCAGAAAATCTGTTGGACCAAAGCTGAAGAACTTTTAGACGTGGCAAAGAAGTTACTCCTTCTGGAATTGTTCCGGTTAAGTTATTGGAGAAGAGGTGGAGAATCTCCAAGCTTTTCATCTGAGCCACGAGCTCAGGGATCTCTCCGGAGAGCGAGTTATCGCTAAAGTCGAGAGAGATGAGGTTTTGGAGGGAGAAGATGGAGAGTGGGATCTGACCGGAGAGCTTGTTTTGGTAGAGAAACATGTACTCAAGATTCTTTAAGTCTCCTAGTGAAGGAGGTATTGGTCCAGAGAGATTGTTGTAGACAAGATCAAGGTGGTTGAGAGAGGATAAGCCACCGATTTGGTAAGGGATTGCGCCAGATAGATTGTTGTATCCCAAGTATATCCATTTCAAGTTTTTCATCTCCCCTAACTCTGCCGGTACACCTCCGGTTAAGTGGTTTGAAGCTAATGTTAAGAACTCTAATCTTGAGAGGTTTCCAAGATAGGCCGGTACATGGCCGGTTAAGACGTTTCCGCCGAGATCGAGGACTCTAAGGTTAGAGAAAAATCCGATGTCGTTGTAGATTTCACCGGTGAACATGTTGTTGGAAAGATCTAACGTGTAGAGGTTTGGAAGAAAGCCTCGAGGGATCGAGCCAGAGAAGTTGTTGTTGCTTAAGTTGAGGTAACGAAGAGAAGGAGATGAAGTGGTAAAGATATCTTGAGGGATTGGACCAGACAAGTTGTTGTTTGAGAGATTGATAGTTCGAAGAAAAGGTAGCCGGAAAGTAGCGGATGTGAGGATTTGGCCGGAGATGTTTTTGCCGGAGAGATCGAGAGAGACAACACGAGAGAAGTTGTTGCAAACGACGCCGGTCCAAAGACACACATCATTGGTTGAAGAGTAGGACCAAGAAGAGAGGTGTTCTAGAGGGTCTTGAATTGAGGATTTGAATGATAAGAGAAGCTCGAGTTCATTTGCATGAAGGCAAGAGAAATTAAGAAACAAGAAGAATAATGTTGTAATGAGATATGGAGGGTGATGATGATGATGAGAAGTAGACATGTTTGCTTTTGTTTCTTTGGCTTTGCTCTATTATTACATGAGGTTAGTGGATATGTATATATGCTCTAGTGTTGAGTGTGTTGCTCTTAAGGATTGTGATTTGCTTTAAACCTTAGCTGTAAAACAGAAATATATATATATAATAAAGGGGGATCAATGATGACCTTTGATTAGAAAGATTATAATAGTCTTCTTTGTCTTCTTTTTTTTTTCAAAATAGACTTTTAATTTTTCCTTCATATGAATAAAATCTTAGAGAGTTTGATAAGAAAGGCAATGTGCATTATTCTTTGTACTAGATGGAAAAGGGATAAAAAGTGCTAGGATGGGCTACAAAAAGGGGAATATTACCAAAGTATAAATTTTAAAATAGAAAGAAACACAAAAGGTGTCGAGCACTTTGGCACCTTAAATTATGGCTGATTTTTTTAATATAGATATTATTCACTAAAAAAACCTTTTTGGCTTATTAATTTGTTTGGGGTTGATTGTATTCAACTTAGTGTTAGAGAAAACTTTAACACCAAAGCAAAATTTAGAAAAGAAAAAATAAAACAGTTTGTGGCTTATTAGTTTGTTTTAGGTTAATTGTATTCTCCATAGTAATTTTTTATTGATTCTTCAATTTCGTTAATTAGTGTCAATATTTTCTTAGTTTTAAATTTTATCTGGATTATAATTTTTTTTTTTGACATCTTTGGATCGACAAGGTCCGATCCATATAGCCAATCCCTATTACGCGGGCTAACGCGATTTAGTAGAGTCGAACTCCGGTGGGAAAGCGGAGTCAAGTGGACTTAACCACTTGACTAAAGGCACATCCCCTGAATTATATATAATATACATATTAAACAAAAATAAACTTATAGGTTACGAAAATAAGAAAAAATATTTCGTCAATAATAAAAAATCTTCGATCTAAAATGATATATGACATATCATATTGTATATCTATACTAGTATTTTTGCAACACTTTGGTGACGGGTGGGTAAAAATGTTTCCGAGTATATCGGATACCCGACCCGTTTTTAAAATTCTTTCACAAAAAAATTTGTTGGGTCGGGTTATATTTAACCCAACTCATACACCGGATATTCCATATTTAATAATATAGATATTTAGAAGATTTGATTAAGATTTATAATTATGATTCTCCTATCATCTTTGTTTGATTTGTTTTTAACTGTTTTGAATCATCATATAATACATAAAGTAAAAAAAAATCAATTTTTTTTCTGCATATACTGTGATTCAAAATTTTAAAAACGGACATATATTATCCAATTGACGAAAATGTGTGTTCAACGTTCTACATCGATTAAAATATTTAGACAATGATTCAGAATCATATCATAAATAAGAACATTAATAAAATAAATGAGTTTTTTGACCGGACGGGTTTGGCGGGACGGGTTTTTGAATCAACAATAATAAAAAGATTAAAATATCATTAATCCGCCGCTTCAATACGGATTAAATCCTTATTTTTTTTAATACCACAAATATTAGACATATTAAATCAGTCTCATTTAGAAAAAATTGTATAAAACCAAAAATTGTTCGGTGGTATAATGTTACTTAATAACAATATTTATAAAATTTTAAAATATCATTAACATGCCGCTTTAATACATATTAAATCTTTGGTTTATTAAAATATAAGTTTCTTATAGAATGATATGATTTGTAAACTTTTATATATAATAAATAATCATTAAATTTTAAAATAAAAACAAATCACGGGACGGGTTACATTTCGGAAAAGATTTATATGGCGGACGAATTTGAATCAATATTTATATACCGCTTTAATACGGGTTAAATCCTCAGTTTATTAATAATTGTCTCGTGGACTCATGGTATACCGTTACTTAATAACAATTGTAAACTATAATATAAATAAATATGTTATAAGGATATACAATTTACAAAATATTTTTATACTAACTTTAAAATTAAATCATCTCGCGGTGTACAGCGGGTTAAAATCTAGTTACTATATTAGAAAATAAGTGGTTAGCTATGAAAATTCTATTTTATCATATACAGAAATAGACTTCTCAAATGATTTATGGTGTAAATTAGCTTACATTTATGTTCGATTCCCACAAACAACAAAGTCTGCCACATCTAAAAATCAGGAAATGAGACCGTCCATGTTGCCGGATGGACCAAATCAGTTCATTGTGAATCCATATTAGAAACTACTAGCTGATATTACGTTGAAAATGCTAATAAAATTGTATAAGACAGCTATATATCTAAAAAATAGCATGCTAAAAAACACTTACTTTATAAATTAATTTTTAGGGGAAGATAATCAGATTATGATTGTTATCCTAAGAACTAATGCGAGTAATCATAGAAATATCACTGTTACTTTATTTTTCTCCACCACTTTCTTTGGAATCGGACGTTTGAACACGGACAGATGAGGATGGGACTGATGTCGTCAAAAAGCCTCTGAGATTTTTGTCGGCTTACTATCGAAATGTTCTTTTGACTGAAGAAAATAAAAACACTTTTTCTTGTCACTAAAACATCTTATGTGAACGTTGAAAAGCATTTTCCCACTCCACGCACTTAATCATTTTTTGTACTTACTATAATCATGCCTAGTTAAATTGAGATGTTCTATATAATATTTTTTTGTAAAAAATTTTAGTTATTAAAATAAAAAATTAATCATGGTTACAAAATATTTTGGACAAATATAAATATATAAGTATATAATAACATATGTCGCTCAATGTATTATATAGTAATTCATGTATATTCTCTAGTGTACTAAAAAGCGATATACGCGATCGTCTAGACCCGACTAGACGCTAGGTTCTCATGCAACGTCTAAATGACCGTCTTAACCGTCTAAAATTACATAGATCTTGTTTAATATATTTTTTCAATTCCCTATTAAGTTTATCTCTATATATATAGTTATAAATATACATATATTGTTTAATTAATATAAATATAAATAAATTTTTTATCTAATTTTTGTTTATAATTTTCTATTTTTAGTTTTTATAGATATTTTATATAAATTTTATATATAATATCATATTTATAATATTTTATGTTATAAACGTGTAAACCGCCTAATAATCGCCTAGATCCGATTAGACGTTCTAGGTGCTAGGCATTAGGTCACCGCCCGCTTAGCGCCTAACTCTTTCTTGAACGTTGATATTCTCCCTTGGAGTCCAATTCTTTACTTTAAATCATTTTTATGCTTAAATTCAATTTTTCACTAAGTCTTATATTTACAACTTTTAAGTTTTAGTGATAAATCATTTCCTAATTATTAACCATATTTAAGTACAATGTTCGCAATGCTCTTAGGCTACAACATTTGTGCTATATTCTGTGACTACCTATCCTCATTGTCCTTCTTTATTGAATCTTTTGTCTTGCTCACTAGCCATCTTAATAATTGAACAGGATTCTGATCTATCAAGCTTAGTGAGTATTATAATCTCGTATACGTAGGTAAATACATATAACATATCAATTCATGTACAATTTATTCAATTAGCCTATCATGCTACTATATTCCACTTGATAAACAAATAACATTGTGGTTCTTGTTTAATCATCTTGGCTTTGATTGATCATTATTAGCTTAGACTACTAAATCAAGCATTCCACACATCAGTCGATATTAGTCATAGACCTAATTAATCTTACCAACAGAAAATCACGCTATATATCTATCAATCACAATCATGTTTTCACCTTGGCCAATATGTAGATTCAGTTAACATTAACATGTTTCCTCATATCCTTACGCCTTTTCCGAGTTCATTCGTTCAAAAAGGAACTAAACTTGAGGTAATTGTTAGAGCTTACCGCACCACACCATGTTATCTAAAGAAATATAAGCTCAAGTTATATAAAAGGGTTACTCCGCACATTTGGTAAGTGAAAAGGTTATATATGTCCGCACAATGATAAGATATCACCATTGGGATTTTCTGTGTGGGAAGGTTGCGTTTTGTGCGCTCTCCTAGTAGCAACCTTTTCTTCGGTATTAAACCAAAAAAAAAAAAAAAACCTTTTCTTCGGGTTCGATTTCAATACATAAACTATTTTACTCTTTTATCTTATGTCTTCACACATAAACATTTTAATGTAAAAAAATTGACCAATAAGAAAGAGACACATGGGGAAAGAGTTTCTCAAATAAATTCTAAAATCTCTTGAACACATACGTCTCTCCTTGTCTCTCCTACTTTTCTATTATTTTTTAATTTTTTAATCTTTAGATACTTTCTTACATACCACCATTGAAGATCCCCTAAGAAATCTATTGAATATCTATCATTCATGGCTCCAAATAATTATGAGTTTACACCCCGAAAGGTAAGAAAAAATGTTTTGCGTTACATCTATGTGGTTATCATATCGAACTTGTATAGTTTTGCAATGGAATTATACCACCAAAACGGATATCGATAACTAATTGAAAAGGGAAAATGGGCCCATAAACAAAAAGAATAAATTTTATGGAAGGAATATACAGAGAGAGGTCATTGTCGTGGAAGGGCATGCTTTGCTTAATTCCATTTTCTAGGGTTTTGTAATTTCCCCACACGCCCACTTTCTCCCACCCCACGCTTGTTCTCTTCTTTTTGTTTTATTCCTTAGGTTAATGAAATATTTCCAACTTTATTTTCCCTCCCTAAATAGACTGATCTAAACTAAGAATATCCAAATAAAGGTACATATATCCCTTATCAAATATATAGACAATTTCATATAGAGAAGAACAACACTATAAACACGTCGTTACATAAGCTGGAACATATAAGAACCAGCCCTGGAAAAATCCAAAAGATATTAATGAAAAACCTTGACAGAATAGTTTCTCCAAAGAAAGAAAAAATCGAGCTAGTAATTCTTCGGAAAAATTAATTTAATTCTTCAACAAGAAAAACAAAAATTCTTGATTAGTTACACACTTTTACGTCTCTATGAATTTACATAATTTTACCAAAACTTTTGTACCCATTTGTTATTGCTTATTTACTAGTTGAGAAGGCTAAGATAGAGTATCTATATATCTTATTTTATCAACCACACATAAGTATATTAAAATAAAATTGTGTATTTGGTTATCTAATATGAAAAACTGTTTTATTTAACATTAAGATTCTGAACGAAACTGAATTTCAGAAAAGCAAACTTCCACGGGAAGGTTGGCGATTGACACCAAGGAAGGTGTCGTTCGAGTAGGCTGGCATAAGGTCTTGGGCTTGGTTCGTCTCAAGAGGGTGTCGAACGATTTGGCCGACACTAGGTTTTGGCCTTGTCTCGTCTCAATGGTCTTGTCGATCGACACTTATAAGGCTATCAACCAATTTCTCCAACACTACTTTTTCCTCGTCTTACTTTTGAAGGGGCTAACAATCGATGCCAAATGGAACTATCGATCGACACTTTAATTTTTTATAGTTTTTGTTTGTTTTGCTAGAAATATATTCGAATTCAAGCCATTATTTTAACCTATAAATGTCTCGATAAGCCATAGAAAAAGTCAATAAAACACTGAAAACACATTGAGAATTAGAGAGTTATTTAGCATTGATCTAAATATACATACTAAATATTGTAGCCTTTATGATAAAATCAAAGTTGTATTGTATTTTCATAAGAACAAATTTATATATATATATATATATATATATATATATATATATATATATATATATATATATGATATGAATATAATATAAATGTTTTATGTATGCAGTATAATGAGATTAAGCGATATGTCAAGAAATTGAACTCCATTGTTTAGTCAGCAAAGTGAAGTTGCCTCAGCCCGAAAGTTTAAAAGAAAGAAAAAATTGTCGTAATTTCGGCTATTTTACTCCATTTAGTTAGGCCACCTACTTTTACAAAACAATTAGGTCTCATGCATGCATACATAACAACGTTTAGGCTATTAGACTAATAAACAATTTAATTCAAAAATCAAATAAATTTGTCTGAGAAAAATATTTTTACTATTCCTTTTATTTATAGAAATTATAACGCTATATTGTTTAATTGTAAATTATTGCACACTCCCGCCATAGTTTTCAGAAAATTAATTGAAGATTGATAAATATAAAAGTAAATGGGAAATACGATGTAAGACAACCACAATACGTTTTGTAGCGTTGAAAGCTCCAGGGGGAGAGGTGCCACACGGCTGTGGTCTAGTGGTAAGAGAGAATTGGGGAAAAATTGGAAAGAACTAACCCATGTTCGATTCACCCTGCAAATAAAAATCACATTTGTGTGGGAAGTCTAGGCTTGGGTCTTGGTCTAAGTAATTCACATGGTATCCGGAATCAGACTAACTGGATACCCCTGAGCATTAGTCGGAAAATATTCCAAACTTGGGGTTAGACAGTGTGGTAGTCCAACACCTAAGTATTGGCGACGAATCCACATAGTAGCACTTCGGTGCGTTCCCCCCGGAGCTGACCGGATCAGCCGATCAGGTATATCAAAAAAAAAAAAAAAAAAAAAAAAAAGCTCCACAGGCAGCATATGACTGGAGAGAATCTGAGGCGGGTTAAAAATGGCATAAGTAGTCAGGTATTTTATTTTTAATCGAAAATACTGTTGGATATATTTTGGTTTTACGTTTTTTAAACCGTAAGAACCATTTGCAAAAAGATGGTATTTTAAACTTAACCGTTCGACGAACTTCGAACACCAATAAAAACAAGATACGAAGATTCTTGCTATGAGTCTGTGATGACTGATGAGGGACGAGTGACGTAGAGAGCCGACCCGTTTCCTCTGGAGAAGATGTCTCTTTCTTTTTTACAAATTGATTGTAGGTCTAATTGTGTTTTTAACAAGTGGTCCAAAGTAGTCACTACTAAATTACTTTATCAAATTAAATTAGTGAGTAGTAGACTAAATCTAATTTTATGAGACATTGATTAGAGAGAAAGAGTATCGACTTAATTGTGTTGCTTCTTTTGTCTTCATTTTAATTACTTTGCTATCTAAAGTCTGTGCTTTTTAACAGTACTGGTATCCATGTCGGCCTTGAATGGTCCACTAAAATATTGACATTTTCGTTCTATAGTTAATTTGCCAATTGAAATATTGGAGTCGGAAATTAAGATAATGGCTACAAACACTTGCAAATGGCTATATTAGTGGTTGGTAATTGGTCAGTAATTTTTGACTGACTATTCGAAATAGATAATTAAATTAAAATAAAATAATTTTTTAAAATTGAAAGTAGATTTTTTAATTGATCATTTGCTAATTAATAATAAATTTATTTACTTTTTCTTTCTTAATTAATAAATATTTAAGAATAACTGAATAACTAGAGCTTGGGTCTACATAATTTTTTTTCTTTTCTCAGGCTCTATATCATTGCTCAATTCTCGAGCCTTGGATCACAACTGATTGTTCGAACAATTTTGGAACCTAACGAAAAGTCGGACATCCTGTTCTGACTGCTTCGTTTAGCGATCTCTCTCATTGATCGTGCGAAATTGAGTTTAGGGTTCACTCTTGTAGTAGAATTGAAGGCATCACAAATTCCTTTGTGCCAGTCAAAGGCTTCTTGTATCCCAGTGGCTGTAGGAGGCTCTTTCCGAAATCTCTCAGTGACCACTACGGCACAAAGACCACAAACCCAATTGCCTGAATACAAGTCTTTAACTTTGTCTATGTATTGCATAGTACATTCTTCTTCTATACCACAACAATCACATTTCACTTGCTTCACTTCTAGCTCTCCGTCTTGTTCCTGCTCGTCTTTATCGCTTATATTTCGTTTTATCTCCAAAGAAATATCAGAGAAGGCCTTTCGAAGAATCATTTCGTTCTGTTCATATGAAGATGAAGTTATGAAACTTAAATACTAATTAACTATTTTAGTTGGCGATATCACTAATTATATAATCAATTGATAGATTACTAACGTATAGTTCTATCACAATTAATATCATGTTGTTCATAAACTTTGACTACCATAATTGTACCTTATCATACCTTGCGAGGAGGTAGAATATTTAGGATTAATTCACCAAATGATATGCATCATATAATACATAGAGTTCTATAAAACTTAAGAACAAACTTATCCACGCAATTCAATAACAAGCATTTGTGGTGTAATGAGAGTAAATTAGACTATATAACTAGGCAAGAAAATACCCGAATCTACGTATGGTTACTATGTATAATTCAACATATATACATACCATTGTTCCCTCGTTCGATTGGCCTTGCAAGGACTGCGTATCTTCTCGTTGTTTTTCGATAATGCACATATATACTTTGAAGTTCATATTTTATCTTATATATATAAGATTACATGCATACGTGATATGTTCATAGTTGCATTGATGACTAGAGTAGGAGTGAGAATCATGCCCAACAAGTTCACTTTACAGCGAGTTGAAGGCGTTCTACTTTTTCTGAAAGCCACAATACGAAAGAGTTTTCAACCCTTTTTTTTCTTCTTTCATTAGCATGACTTTTCTCATTGTGATTTGAAAGGGATAAGATATGTGATCTGATCACAGTGATCATGTATATAAATGTCATATTCATTCTGCTATGTCAAGACCTTTATTATACATCATGGACTGGCCACCAGCCAATATATGAAATGAGTTATAAATTTCTAGTCAGTACCGGACTCATGTCAAAACCTTGGATTCGTGATTTCGTATGTTTTTGAGAAAAAATATATTAAAAATGCATTAATTTGTCAGAAATTTACGATGATTTTTCGACAATGTTTCCGACGATATTTTTTCGTCAATAATTTTCGACGAAATTGGTTTCTGACCAGTAAATTCCGATGAATTTGATTTTCTCGGAAATTCATCAAAATATACCATTTCTAACTAATACGATTGTCATACAATTGTTTTCTTGTAATGTATATTATAAGTTGGTCATATTAATGAATTATTAATAAGACTGTCAAAATACTATGACCAAATACTATAAGATTTGTCGTAATTTACAAGAATAATTCACTATGTACTATATACATAAATAAACAATATGTCATATGAAAAAATGACATTTAGCATTTGGGAGATCATAAAACATGCTCTGGTACCTGACATTAGAAGATGTATGTGCCCAAGCACATAACCTTTAAATTATTAAGAAAATGACATGTAAATTCATCGAAACTCGACTATAAAATTTTCCACCGTTTTAGCTATTCTGATTGAGGTATATTGCCAAATAAAATAAGGGAAAAATGTCAAAAAAATCATGAACTTTCAAATTTGGGACGATTTAATCTTGGACTACGATGAAGACATTTAAATCATAAAGTTTTTGTTGACTTTACAACTAATTAGCGAAGTTTGTTTGACTCGCCATTTTAGACACATCGATTTCATTTTCTAACCCTAGAATCCCAATCTCTCTCTCTCGCTTTCCTCTGTTGAAATTCCGACTGATGATGGCTAAATTCCGGTTCGGTGGTCACCGCGACTGAGTCAAGCAGCAGCCGCGGAAGCTCAGCTTCGCTTCTGTAGGATTTGGTCCGAAATTTTCCGTAGGATTTGGTCCGAAATTTTCCGCGGCTGCTGCTTGACTCAGTCGCGGTGACCGCCGAACCGGAATTCTTCTCTTCCCCCCACGAGTTTTAGCCATCATCAATCGGAATTTCAACAGAGGGAAGCGAGAGAGAGAGATTGAGATTCTAGGGTTAGAAAATGAAATCGATGTGTCTAAAATGGCGAGTCAAACAAACTTCGCTGATTAATTGTAAAGTCAACAAAAACTTTATGATTTAAATGTCTTCATCGTAGTCCAAGATTAAATCGTCCCAAATTTGAAAGTTCATGATTTTTTTGACATTTTTCCCAATAAAATAATATGGTCACTTTCTATAAAATCTTAAAATGTTTGTAAGTTGACGTAAGAGGCAAGCGATGGGTGATTGACAGCTTACTATACAAAAATTAAGATCTGAGTCTCTATGTTCAGTTCACACTATGTATGAAATAAAATAAAAGAGTTTTGCAAGAACACGTTTCTAAGTCATTAAATAACGTCAAAAAATTGCAAATAAAAATCAAAAGTTGTTAAAAGAAGATAACGAAATTCTAGGCTTGTGAAAGATTCACGAGCGACATGGACTTAGGTCACCTTTTCTGCAATTTGCTTAACGAAACCCAACTGAAACGTTTATCTATTTACAAGTTGTAACTTACAACATCCTTATTCCTTAATATATTTATTTGATTAAGTTTGGCACAAATTGTTTATCGAAAAAATGGAACAAAAAAGTTTGACAAAATTGTTTATCATAAAAAAAAAAAGTTTGGCAAAATTTAACTTCTAGTTTTGTTAGATACACTAGATGTTAACCCGCGGTACACCGCGGGCCTAAATATTATTTGAATTGTTTTTTTACCTCTCACACTCTTTTATTGGAAAATCTGATTATCAATGCCTTCGTATTCAAATGTTTTGTAGATTCCACTTGGATATGAATCTTGGTTCACTGCCTTCGTATTCAAATGTTTTGTAGATTCCACTTGGATATGAATCTTGGTTCGAAAGGTTTCAGTAGTTTTTGTAGAAGATGAGTTTATCCGCTGCAAATTTGTTAGAAATACAAATTAGAAAACTGATTGATCAATATATGAAAGGAAAAAAATAAAAAATACTAAAAAAATTTAGAGACTTACGTACGGATTCATTTTCAGTATGCTTTGTATATTGCTTCCATGAGAATCTTGATATGGATGTGCCAACTTATATTGAAAGGCTCAATGTTGTTAAGGTACGTGAATCCAACAACCATTTTTGGTTGTACGTTTAGATTATTGAGAATGGTAGAAATGGATGATGTATTTATAGTCAAGAAGATCGGCTTATGCAGTGTTACTTTTAGGTTAAATAGGAATAAATCTATACATAATTTTTCAAGTATACAATATTTAGTTTATGTTTTAGGAATATTCTCCCATAAATTTCGAATATCTCAAATCTTTTATTTAATGAACATATAAAAGATTTCAAATCACCATTTTTTAGTAATTTAGATGCCTAAACGATTTGGAGGTTTTAATAGTTTCCATTTGTTAGATATTCTTAATATATGTTTAAGAGCATTATCAAGCAATAATAATTAAAATTTGATTACGATTAGGTTTTGGTTAGTTGTTTATATTTAGTAGATATGACCGAGATTATGGTAATTAATAGTTTTAATTTTGAATATTTAACTTCCATATGTTAGAATCTCAAATCTCGTTATCATAAAAATAGGAATTGTTTGGGAAGTTTATTTATTGATTTGTAAATTTGCTTAAAACAAATATTTTAGAGTAAATGGTGGATTTAAATTGTTGAGCTGTAAATGGTGGATTTAAATTGTCGAAATTATACATTAAATGCCGATTATACTGTCATTAATTTGTTGCTTAAAAATCGTCTTGTTAGAGATTTTGGAGAGAAAGAATATCGTAAATAGTATTTTTGGAGTAATTAAATTAGATATGAAATCTGGGATGTGAGATTTTAGAAAGTCTTGGTCGAGTAATAATGGAGAGATTTATGGCAATATTGTTGAAGTGTAAATCTTGGATTTTAATTCTGAAATTAAATGTTAGATGCCAATGTTATACGCATATTCCCTTAAAAACAGTTAATAATTACTCATTAGTTATTGTTTTAAATTTTTAGGAGGTGTGGTGAGAAGTTAATTACGGAAATTATAAATATGGTTAATAAAAAAATTAAATTCGTTTTTTATTACAACATTCCTAAAAATCCTTATCCAAGATCCGAATAGAGTTAAACCCGGGTAAAACCCGGATCCAAATGAATTAATGCAAAAAAACCCTGTAAAAATGTATATGTAGATACAAATCTTATTCGAGAATGTTTGTTAAAATACTGTATCGGAACAGACATTAATATTGTTTAAGATTATGTCTGGTTATAATTAGTTTTTTTTTTTAATAAAAAGTAAATAAAAATCTTTTTTTTCGCAAAATTAATAAAAGCTAAATCTCAACTTATTAAGCAATAAACGTAGCTTGTAAATATATTGCAAAATATTTTTCCAAATCACTAGGGGATAATCCGGGCTACGCCCGGCTATACATTTGACAATTGAATTAATATAGTTTTAACTTTATTTTTAGTTTCTTTTAAAAAAGTACGAAATATTTGTGATGTAATGTGGTGTGTTTCAAGTTCTATCAAGTCTAGGAACATAAACAATATTACTATCAATTTTAGATTAGGGATCTTAATTTGTGGTCACAACATAGGTATTAAAATATATATATTTTCAGGAATCTCAGCTTTCATATACCAATGTTTTAATATAAAAATAAGTAGACTGAATAAGAGAATTTAGAAGAGCTGAGTTGGTTATATCACATATAAGTAACTGAAGGGCCTGAAGGCTGAAACTTCTCATCAAGTTTTCTAAACACCATTCCGAGCTAGCAAATTGAAACATTTTTATATAAATTCAACAGAAAAAAAAAGAAATAAAATTAAGAGAGACTTGTAAATACTGAATCCTACTCATTTCTTAAGGGGTTTAAATTATGTGTTAGAACAAATATAACAAAATAAGAAACTCATGGACCTCAAATCAATCCATCTTTACCATGATTATAATTTACTGTGATATAGAAAGAGGTTCTGAGCTTGTGACTTACAATTACATGTGTAGCACGTCATGAATTCTTTTGACCCTTGTACTTGACAATCATTAGTAATCACTTCATTTCTTTCTGGCTACCAAACTCCAAAAGAAAATCATATCAATCAATTATGATGAAAAAACGTCAAGAGATTACTATGGAATTTGCATAGTTGAGAACGATGACATGAGCTCTGAGCCTTTCTGACATAGACTCCATTACACCATGACTGAGAAAAACTAACATTAGTATAACCTCATCTTGCTTGTTTTTGAGATGAAATTTAAAACTGAGGATTAAAGATTCTCGTACCTTACTACAGCAATAGAATTTACTTTCTCCAGTTTCTTAAATGTATTTTAAGTACTTGGGAGACTGGGAGTATTCTCGATTCTTAACTCAGGGCATGACAACTTTCTTGGCACCACGCAATGAAAAAAATGGTTCAATAATTTAGAACTTAATGAAAAGTAATTGTTTCTATGCACTTTCATGTATGAGTATATGTTGATTGTATGAATGTCCAATAGCACTAAGCAGAATTATGATGGAAAACAGGCGAGCTTTTCTCCTCTAGCACCAACCACATGAATCATAGATACATCATGAGGAATATGTACGCAATATTTATGTATTTGCCCCCTTGGTCATGTCTTAAGGAAAACTCAGAAACGTCTAAACTCAAGCTTGAGTGTTAAATATTTTACTTTAATTGATAAATAAGCAGATCTTGGACCTCAAATTAAACATTTTTTAGCTACAATAGAGCAAAGTGAAAAGGCCTTTCTTAGTTATATATGGAACTGCAGTGTAAACATATATATGAGGCAATGAAAATCAAAATAATACAGAGGATATATCGAACCTCTAACTCTTTCTACTATATAGTATATATACTATAATGTTCACATGAAAATTAAATAAAGTCAAGTAAATATGGAGAATGTTATCCGAATTTAAGATTCTTTTAAAACTAGTTTTCTATAGCCATAACAAAACATAACCAAAAACAGAAAATGGAAGACCTATAAAAGATCTAAAAAGTTACCTCAAACAATATAGTATGATTCTCTTTTATTGAAAACCGCCGGCCAATCGCTCATTGAACCTGTAACATAGAGCGACAACATAGAACCTATATTGAGGTCCATCAAAACCAAGCACCTATCAGATAAGTGGCCCCGACTTGAACTATAATAGTAGACCAGACATGTCCTAGTAGGAGATCGAAAATATACAAAAATATTGTTTGACAGAGTCAATAGATGTGCCGTGACTCGTGAGGAGGGATTCTTACATCATACATATGATTTAAAAGAACAGAACAAAAATCTTATTTAAAAAGAGACATACCCAAATTTTATGATTTCTCCGAGATCCCTCTAGCTTCAGCCTTCCTCTTTCTTGTATATTAACAATTTTGAAGAATCAGATATTAAATATTAATACATGCATACGATACATATATATATATATATATATATATATATATATATATATGGATGTTGATGCGCACATGATCACACTGATTTAAGCTGAAGATGAAAGCCATATCAAGGAAGAAGGAAAACCAGATTCATACCCAAAAAATTGGTTCGATTGTCAAGTTGGAGACGAAAACCTAGCTGTGGTTCATCGGACAGGACTGTACATTGAAGAGAGTCTGGCTGGAGAGGTAGCGTTGAAATAGAGAGTTAGATTGGACTTTGGAGGGGAGATGAAGCAAATATAAATGATATGATTAATTGATTATGCAGTAATAAATGATTACAACGAATAAGAGGAAGAGGAGTCGACATTGTTACAACACACATGAAAATGAAGATTGTTTGGGATCAAATTTTGCCTTTGCCATGTGGCATATGGAGGAGAATTTGTAAGATGCTGATGTGGCTAGCTTTAGAAGCTTCAAATAGCACCTTTTATTAGTTAGAGATTTTGAGAGATAATTGGCCAATCTTAACAACTTATCCTTATGCAGTTCGATCTCTATATAAGAAAGTTGTATACTTTTTTCCTAATCATCAGAGAACGAATTCTTCTTCATGTATTAACTAATGGCATATTTGAGGCAGCCTTAAAGTGACAATCGTTAAGTATGGAAGCAATACTTATCTACTTCAGGTGAAACCATTGAAATGGTTTTACTCGATTTTAAGGTATTATTGTTTCCTTCAAATACCATTAATCACTGTTAATTATCACAATTCAGTTTATAATTACATAGAGAAAATTATGCTGATTATGTATACTGCTTAATGTTCACAAAGTAATAGCATTATGGTCCTGTTATGCAAAAGCATACTATTTTTTTTTTGTTATACTATTTTACAATTACTAAAAGTAAAGAAAATAAAGTTCACAATTATTTCATTTAGTGATCGATACAATACATTTGAGTGATTATGGATGGCATAGGAATTCAACCGAAGTAACGAATTCTAACTAAGTTTGATTACAGTTTATTATATATAGCAAATACAAATGAACTAATACTAATACCATACATAGTTTACATAAACTTGTTTTCGAAACTGTAAAAAAAAAAAAACGGAAAATTTGAAACCCATGAGTTAAGTTTTAAACCTAACAAGGGAGATTTATCCTAAATATCTACTAATTAACATCTAGCAAACTCATAACATTGGTTACAACACACTCAATACATTGCTTAGTCTCTACAATTACTTCTATCATCTATTTAATAGGCTATTCAATTGGTTCCCATTATGTTACAATTGTGTGTTACAGATCTCCAACCTCACAATTTTCCTCTGCACGTGTCTCATCTTCATCCACTTCAGCTCTCCCACATGCTTCCTCCCTTCAAAGGTACACACTTGTAACTTATCAAAAACATATGGATTTTTTGGAGTGGAAAAAAAAAGTAAATCTTTTGTATTCATGGTTTTTATGTGACCATGAAAATTTGATTACATTAGATCTAGATCATAGCTAATAACTCTATACATATATCTTGTAGCTTGATTTTAAACAAAAACTTTTTTTTTTGCCACCAATTTTAAACGAATATAATTTAAAATTTAAAATGGAACCTTATAAGAAATGGATTTTGGATAGGTCATGACTGATAAAAGTTTGAAGCCTTTTTCACCTATGATCAACAAAACTAATTGGAAAAAAAAAGAACCACATTAAAAACA